TATAATTTCGGACTTTTGTTGCCGTCTGTGAGGGAAATAAATGGGGCTCAGAGCCTCAGAATACTGAAATCTGTATTTTTTAAATCTTTTTTTCCTTCTAATTTGTTATTCTTTTCAAAATAACACACTGTTATTTACTCACCAATAACACACAATTATCCTTGCTTTTATTTATTGGTTTAATTCCATAATCTCTGGCTTTTTCGTCAGGAACTGAATTTCAAAATAAAAATAACCGGAAACAGACATAGGCATTTCGAGCGATTACCCAAGATCCTCAGCTATAGTATTTACATGGAGATAAGCCCCTTAAAAACCATGAATTAAAAAAGCATTAATTCTGTGTTTACTCCTGTCATTCAAACAAGACGCTGGAGAGGGGGCGGGCCGTATCTCCATGTAAATCCTATCGGAATCGGATCGATCAGGCTAAAGTTAAACTAACCTGTAGCTGCTCCGTCCACACTCACAACAAAGTCATACAGACATAAATAAAGCAGCGACTGTATTCGCCATGACATAGACAGTCTGTGTTTTGTATATCTTTAACTTTTGTCCAGTTTCTGAACAGATATGAGGAGATGTGAGCTCTGAGTGTGTGCTAACAGCTAACGGCTGATGTGTTGGGCCAATCACGAAGCGTCATTTCTTGACTGGCAGCAAAAAACAACCAATCACAGCAGTGCTTCTATGGCTGGCTCTGTCCAATCACAAACAAGAAGTGTTCTCCCTAAGGAATACCCTTTCCGTCCAATGTGAAATGCTGTGGCGTTTTCTGAAATGCTGTTGTGTTTTGTGAAATGCTGTTGTGTTTTGTGAAATGCTGTGGTGTCTTGCACTTCAGGGCCACCGTACTTTAGTTATCAGGTTCAGGTTATTTATTAGTACCCGTAGGTAGATTGAGTTTGCAGATAAAAAGACAAGGGATCCATCCTGACACACATTCTAAAACAACACAGACATATCTCTAATAACATTCAAAGTTAATAAATCAATAAAAGGCATCTGTGTGACACTGCTACGACGTATTCCTTGGTGTGATATCTGCCGTAATAAAGCTGTAACTTTGTTCTACACTTTGGGACAACTAACCTCAGTCTAGAGTTACTGTATGTAAAAGAAAACACACAATTCAGGTGTCAGGTGGCAATTCAAAATACAATTACAATTATTCCATACATTTATTCTCCTGTAGATCAACTTCTATAATTTAGTGTTATCCCTGATTCAGTACACAGCTGTAATCGATCTGTTTGTAGAAGGTAATATCTTAAATGCTCAGTACTCCAGTTTAAGTGTATCTAGTTGTTTCCAGTTTCGCTGTCTTTGTAGTAAGCTACAGAGGTGTAAATGCATTTACTCAAGTACTGTACTTAAGGACAATTTGTAGGGATTTGTACTTTACTTGAGAAATGGACCAATCTGCACAATGACTACTTTTACTTTTGTTACTTAAAATGTAAAACTTGAGTAACATTTGGATTGCAGGACTTTTACTTGTAACAGAGTATTCCTACACTCTGGCACTTCTATTTTTCCTATACCAGATCTGAGTACTTCTCCCACCTCTGCTAATATACTCTACCTGGCTGTAGCTGCACATTTAGTGAGAGTGGTATCAGTCTTTTTATCCAGCTATTGGCAAAAAAACTAGCATATCTCTCCAAATGTCATAATATTATTTTATGCAGTCTCATTACATGTTACTTGTTAGACACTTTTATCCAAAGCGACTTACATACATTCAATACTGTGGACAATCCCCACAGGAGTAATTTGGGGTGAAGTGTCTCAGGGACACAACGATATGCAGACTGCAGTGGGATTTAAACTTGCTATCCCCTGATTAGAAGTACATCATACTATCCACTGAGCCACAGCCTCCAATCTCACTATCCAAGTGTAAAATCCTTTAAGTTCAAGACTTCCTCAGCAAATTGTCGGATGCAAGTATTTCAGATCTCTTAATGCGGAGCAATAAAAAAGACATGATTTGAAACATTTTGCCTTTTAAATTGGTTCTGAGTGTGTTTTGATATCACTGACTCCATTATTACAGTTTTTTCAAAGTCAAACTTTTTTCTCTTCTCTCTCAAGTCACATGTCCTGATTGTTGAGAATGAATGCCTGCACTCGAGTCTGAGGTCTGTACTCTGCTGTACTTGAACTAACCGTAATCAACAATCATGTTCTTAATTTATTTGTGTACAATTAGACTTCTAGTTGGATTGGCAATCACCAAACACAATGGAAAGCTATATTTGATCATGGAAACTAACTGCATGAATTGAGTAGCCTACACTTAGAGGAATACATCAATATCTGTCTGACAGAGGGAGCGCTGCTGTTTGCACTGGTAAAGATCAAACATGCCTGATAGATTTTCAAGGTGTCCGTTTGGTCGCTTTGCAAAATGGGGTCTGTTCTGGTGGTTTATTGATGCTCCACTTTATTATCTACCAGCAGCCCTTGAATATCTCATATAACATCTTTCTAAAATGTGTTTAGCATAATAGAAAAGGCGTGACACACTGCTGCTTCTTTTCTTCTGTGCTTTTACTCATTCAAAGGCCTTCAGATCGTGATGCGTTGAAATGTGTGGGATTCCCCACCCACTATACAAGGTTTGTAATCCAAGAAAATGTGGCCGAAACCCACTGAGCCAAAAGGAGTGCAGCCACACAAATATAGAGCAGGGTAAACAAATAAAGGATCAACAGTTATCTTACCTCCAGGTACATTACAGTGCATCATCAACCTCAGCCCACAGAAGTAGACATTGACAGGATCCATATTTAAAAAACAATAAATACCATAGGCTACATCCTAAATTCAAGTGCCCAAGGAGTATCATAACATGTTACAGTGCTTTAATGTTGGAGTAGATATCATTCTTCTTATTAAATGTGTAGACTGCTCTGGTTCCTGTGAGATGCTTGCTCGGGTATTCTGAATGGATGCGGCAGAGGCGGCGGCGTGGGTAGCGCGTGACAGCGGAGGAGGCGAGGGTTTTAAATTATAGGCTGCATTCACGGACTCACCGTAAACTCCTAGTGTCTTTAAAAGGCGAGACACGGCAGGCAAAAACATCGTTTTTCAAGTACTGGTCAATTTTGAGATTTTGTGCTATTTTGATTCCATAACATGTTTTCTTTCAGGCTTTTGGAAGGAAAACGTACAAAATACACATTTAAGTGTTTATTTTACTATAGTTTGTCTATTTGCGTCTGTAGATTTCTCCTAAATTCACCAAAAGTTAGCATTCTAACGTAACATAAAGTACCGCGACCGCTGTGTGCACCATGTCAACAGAGGTATCGCTGGAAAGCTGTGTCTCTCCTGCACAATCTCATCGGATCCAAATATGGTCATTTCCTTTGTATCAGCAACTAATCGTGAAAGCACAAAGGGGTCTTAAACCAAGAAACGAAATCTCATTGGCTGGTGTCAATTTATGACAACGTGATTCGTTCAGATGCGTCACGTGGTGTGCTAAAACACTTCCTGGTTAGCTTTCCACTAGAAATTGAAATCTCAAAATGCCAAAAGGACGGCGAAAAAAACGTTCACAGAGAAGACGACAACAATTGTCACTTGCACGAAGCAAGGTTATAAAAAAACATGAACATGAAATACCTTCACGGAGTGCGTCGATGCGCAAGCTGTCATCCAAAGAACAGGAGGGTTTAGCTAGCGCCTCACTGCAATCTTTAAAGGTCGTTTCTCAAAATGAGTTTTTTCTCCTACTCTGAGTTCGAAATTTCAACTTCAGTAGCACGTACATACACCAAACCTTCCAGTTATATTCCTATCAATATTATGAAGGCTTTTACAGAAGGGTTTGTTCATATATAATTCATAGCCTGAATTATACAACATTGTATACCTAAAAACATGGCAAAAATGGATATTTTAGGGCTGTTGACAGTATTTTCTGATTTATGGAGTGATAAAAAGAGATATCCAATATCCCTTCTGTAAAAGCCTTAGATACTAATATGACTACAAAATGAAACAAGAATTTTGAATCTGGCTATCTCCAAAGTTCAGATTTCGATTCCTGAAATGTGTTAAAATATGTGAATATTTAATGAGATAATGGGAATTTGCATATTTAAACATGCTATTTCAGAAAACTTGTAATACAAAAGACAATTGCCTTATTGTAAGTAATTAACTGGAGACATTTCTAGCTGATACCTTTAAGTTAATAAAATTACCCTATTCACCTGGGGTGTCTCGCCGTTGAGGTTGTTTAGAATTAATTAGTAGTCATAAAACAAAAGGCAGAAAAATAATAGACTGTACTCATTTACCAATGTCTTTAGTCATATCCACATGACTTCAAGCCTTTGGCATTTTGGATTTGTTTTTGTTGCGTCAAAGCACTCAAGTTCTTATTGAGGCACAATATAAAAGTAGGCCCATGTGTCAAATTCTAAGGACTCCACGGCCCGTCCACACAGCGGCGTGCGTTGACACTCAACGATGTTGCTCGATGTTGCAAATTGCAAAATTATAGTTTGTTTAATTTAAATACAGTTCTCCTACATCAATCGTGGGTGTGAAATAATTGTACACCATTTAGAGAAAGGAATGGGTGGTTAAATCACATTTGAATTATCTTTTTAAAACTCAATATTAAACAATAAAAGTAGGTTATTATCATTATTAATATTATTATTAATATAGGGACCCAGCAGCAGAGTTAACCTCATTTGACCATGTACATACAAAACACTGAACAATGTATCTTGTTTTTATTTTATTTACACAAAAATGATCATATTCAAAGCTTTTTGCTATGGAATCTGCCATTTGATCCCACAATGTAGTCCTTCACTTTACTTACTTTTTATGTGCATCATTCATGCATTCTTGTACAACACATTTACATGTTCTAGCATGATTTATCCAATCTTTAGGCTGCTGTTGTATGTTTGATTTCCCACCGCCCATGAAGGCAGCACCGCCCCTCTGAACTGGGTCCGCCTCTGCGCTCCGACGGGAGGCTCCGGCGGAGGGGAGCCGTGTGGGTGCCGCGGAGGACTTTCCTATAAAAGTAGGGATCCCACGGCCAACCGAGCTTGTCTATCTGTCACAGGCAAGACAAGAGCCACGAGTCCCCGCCAGCAGCTGTGTTATTTCTCCCGCCACAGCTCGGAAAAGCATCCCGACCTCACCTAAAAGGAAAGCTTTAGTCTATGGTTCTGACTGACGCTCCAACAAGGATGTCCCGGACCGACGAGGTGCACCGTATAACGGAGAATGTCTACAAGGTAAGACGGAGCTTGTTTGTTTTCCTGCCGCTGACCTGGCGTCCTCCTGCCGCGGAGGGACACCTGCTGCACCGGGGGGAGGCTTCAGGACAGGCTAACTTACTTCACTGAGCCCGAGTGGTGTGGCTTTTCTGTCATGTGTCAAAGTGATTTATGATAAAGACATGATCACTAGGTGATACCAAAAGGGTTTTTATTAGTGTATTTCCTTGAAAAAAAGTGCTGAAACACTAACATTAGCCTGTGTAATGGTTGTAAATCTAACTCACAGAAACTGAGGCTAGTTTGGAAAGACAGATGATTCCTTTCCTTAGGTTAACAGATTAATGATTTCATTTACAAAGTATGAGAAATATTAAAATATGATGTACTCGAATCCCCTTCTTCAGTCAAATTGAGCATCAATTAATTCAACTGTAATTGTTTACCCAGTGTATGGACTCATTTGATGTATGTCTAGTGAACCCCTTCCCCTCTGGTTATTACAATGCTATTTTAGCAGGAATGCTACTAGTCAGTCATGTTAATTCCACCTCACTGTGACCTCACCTCCTAACTGACAGGTTGCCCCCCTGAGGAGGCTTTTATTAAAAAAAAGTGCTGGGTCACTTAGATTTACAACTATCAGTCAGGCTATCTCACAGAAACTCGTACAGTGCTTCTCAAAGTGTGGTCCGCGGACCACTGGTGGTCCGTGAGCGCCCCCTAGTGGTCCGTGAGTATATTGGTAAAATGTCACATTTGAAATAAATAAATTTAAGTTTTTCGCACTCTCGCGGGAATTTCTCCGCAATGGAACGAGCTTAAGTTTAACTTTTGATTGCATGATATAGCCCAGATAAGCACCTTCATCACACATGTTGCCACTTGTTTGTACAATTTCCAGGCGATTTGTAAAAAACGATGTGTTTTTGGATATTTGTGGAGTTAGGTGGTCCGTGAGTGTTTTTTTATTGGTTAAGTGGTCCTGGGTATGAAAAAGTTTGAGAAACACTGGTTTAGAAAGACAGATTATTGCTTTATTTATAGGTAAACAGAATAATGATTTTCAAGTGTCAGAAATGATAAAAAAGTCAAATGATGTCTTCAAATCGTTTTCTAATGAACCAATCACAGCAAAAAAAAACATTTATTTCAATCGTAATCGTTTACTTGGCAGTGTAAGCACTCATTTGATATATGTGTAGTGAACCTTCCCTCCAACTCCGGTTATTACTATGCTATTTGTGCAAGAATGCTGCAAGTCAGTCGTGTAAATTCCACCTCTCTGACCAAACCTGACAGTTTGCCCCTTGGCCGTTCAGCTAAAGTTACACGAGATAACAGAGCAGAGGAGAAGCTGTCACCATCATCTGTGGGAAATGCTCCTGGAAGTATCTGTAGACATGACCTGTGTGAGCTTATTTAAAGAGGTGGGGGCGCTCAAAATGTCTCCCCAAAGGAGTGCTCATGATTAAACTAGTTGCAGTATTGAGAGTAAACAGTAACTGTTCTGGGTACTGTTCAGTTTCACTGTGCTCGGGGCATCTGTCCAGGTGAGGTAGATTTCAGGCAGCGAACGCATCACAAGGGTTTTCCTTCATGTGAAGAAACTTCACCTGTTTACAGAAACACTCCAGGAGAGAGCTGGACTGCCTAAAAGCTTCCTGGTACCTGAGAGGTGTTCGTGGATGCAGGAGAAAAAGCCCATGTGTGCTCACTGAGCCAAAGATGCGTTTGGTGAAGGTCGGGTTAAACAGAGTTCATGCTTCCTAGTGTGGCCGAGGCAATATGGGGTCACATGACATCAGAACTCAGCCTACAGTAGGAGTAGTATCTGATTTTCTCTGCTACATGAAAGCACACACCAAAAAAACTCGCTCTTCACCTGGAAAGGCTCTAATGAGGGCGCGATGTTACAAAGGGAGGAGGAGGCGCCTGGGGTTGTGACCTGTGGGAGGTTTCTTCGGATCAGCAATAGCCAGAGACACCACAGAGAGAGAGGGAGGAAGAGGAGGAGGAGGATGTTGAGGGAGGAGAAACATGATGGGCTGATCTGCATCAATTTGAAAAGAGGGGAAGTCATAAGTCAATTGGCAAAACATTTATGATAATTAACAAAGATTGTCATTTAAAAAACACACATTTTCAGTTTCCAGCTTCTCCAATGTGAGGATTTGCTGATTTCCTATGTTGTATATCATCAGACAGTGAATAGCCAACCTTGCAATATATGACCTTGCAACATTTTCTGACATACTACAGGCACACAACTTCTGCATATAAATCAATGGAACAAAAACAAATGACCATTAGCCGGACTGCTTGGCAATAGAGCGCCGGGGGTCGATTATGAAAATGCCATCATGCAGAAAGCAGCAGTGGGGTTTCTTCCTGTCATCAGCAGGCTGGAGTCAGCAGGAGTGAGGAGGAGCAGAGGGCCTGAGCGACCTGCTGCTGATTGGAGGGGACCAATAGTCGCTGGGGGGGCAATCAGTGCAGGGTGGTATTTATGAGCCGGTCCAATGAGGGATCTGAGCGCCTGTGTTTAGAGAAGCTAACGGGTCTGTTTCTACTGAGGAGAGAAGGTACAGAGATAGGGGCCAGGAGCATGAATTATAGAACGTAATATCACAATGAAGCAGTCAAACACCAACAACTCCATATGATTGGTTAATGTTGGTACTAGTGGTTTGAAAATGTGATGGAGCATGGGGTTCACCTTTTAAAGACTTTTCCATAATGGATCCCTTAACTTCAAACCAAATCTACCTATACTGGTAAAAATACAATTACCTGAACATGAATTTAAGACACGCTAGTAAAGGTTTGTACACTTGTGAACCTGCTTTAAATGAACATCTCGATGATCAGAATACAGCTGCTGATAGGCTGTGACTTGACTCTGTTTTTACAGGGAAGACTTGCTCTAAATCACATTTTAATCAGTTTGGAACACTTGGTTATGGCCATTTTATATTGCATTTGTGCTCAAGCGACAACTAGAGGTGATTTGCTATCTTTTTTGCAGATTGAGCAGGATTCATTTGTGGATGTGGGATGGATTCAACATGTATGGCAGTTCAAGTCACAACGATGAATTTAGAAACCAATGTGTTAGCCTAAAAATTTATCAAAACCTTATTAGACTCCACAAAATCGGAATATGATATGGAATTCTGTCAATAGAGATTTCATATTTGAATACTAATTCTTCTCAACAGCTACCATTAAGCAGGGCACGTACAGGGCGGCTGCTATTATTTGAAGAGTGGGGTTTAATTACTCCCAGGTGGTCTACAAACTGAGAGATGATCTTTCCCAGGATAAACAATGATTTTATTTTCCTGCATCTCCGTATCCAGTTTGTTTTGTTTGTTTGTATCAGATGTCAGAACAATATACATCAAAACCAACAGTAGAGGACCGAAGCCATAACCCCACTCCTCTGCTGCCGAAACTAGAGATACTGAGTGCAATTTTTACATGACTCACAATGGCGGATGCATGTGTGTGTGGGCAGTGTCTCACGACTGTGTTTTGTTTCTTCGCACCCTAACTGTACTGTTGAGTGGCTGGCAATATATCTGCCTCTGAAAGTACATGTCCTATCAGACAATGCTAATAACAAAGGGGGAAATTCCTCGTTGGATTGAAGAGTCAACTCTACTCCGTGTTTGGTGAAGTTTTAGATGCTGGTGGAGATGTGCTAGTTACCCTCTGACAGTGGGTTAACCGCCTCTCCTCAGGTTGTTGTTGTTGTGGTTGCTGAACAAGCATCATCTGTATGTTTGTTCAGGAGTGATGTAATCCCAACAGTGCTGCCGGCTCCGTGTGTTTGATGAAGCTCGAGCGTCGGGGCCAGGCTGGCTCCTTGTGTTTTGGTGGTGGGAGTGGATTATCAGAGAAACATCACATGGTCCATTCATTGATTTTTGTGGTGGCTATGTGTTTGTGTGTCTCAGCTCTTCTACCAATGTTGTCCTCCAGATCTTAAGAGAGGATCTCTAGCTCCAAGGCAAGATAGTTTCAGGTGTGGTTGATATGGAAACGTGTCGATTATGGTCTATAAAGCACATGTTGGAATATAAATGTGTTTCTACGTTTTCTGAAAAATCTAAGTAGAAACTGCATATAGATTCAATAACCTAGGGAGACCAGTTGTTGATTTATCAATCAAGTGACATAAGGCGCGTTCACACCGCAGTACTTTTCCCATAAAGGTTCATCAGAACTCTTTAGTTCTGATGAACTAACTACAGATCGCGTTCACACTGGAAAAAGTCCCTGGGGGTGGATTAGGCAAATGAAGCCGCTGACGTCACTTCTTCTTCTTCTGCTTTGGGTTTACTGGCAGGCCGCAAACCACTTCACGGCGTATACTGCCGCCCAAAGTCCCCGGCCGGAAGTCCCCGGAGTTGAAGTAGAAGCTGCTGGGACTCCCAGCAGCTTCTACTGCTGGGACTGCTGGGACTCCCAGCAGCTTCTACTGAAGCCTTCCGAGTAAATCACCAGAACGCCGACACCTCCTCATCTCCACCACTCCCATGTTTTATTTTGTGTTGTCATAAGTTAGTCTCTCTGCGTTTCTGCGCTGGGCTAATGCTAATAATGCTAATGCGAGGATAATAAAATGGCGGCTTCACAAACTTTTTGGGAGTTTTACGGGGCGTGGTTTGCAATCCGCCCAGCCAATCAGACATAGGAACCTTTTTCTCCCACGAAAGTACCTGCTCTCTAGCAGGGATGGAAAAGGGGGTGAAAAGGTTCTCATGAACTCATTTTAGTTCTGGATTTTTTTTTGGTGTGAACGCAACATTTCGGAACTAAAGTGGGAAAAGTACTGCGGTGTGAAAGCGCCTATAAGCCGCATTCACACCGCAGTACTTTTAGTTGTTTGCGGCCTGCCAGTAAACCCGAAGAAGAAGAAGAAGAAGAAGTGACGTCAGCGGCTTCATTTGCCTAATCCACCCCCAGGGACTTATTCCGGTGTGAACGCGATCCGTACTTAGTTCATGAGA